TGTCTTCATTTCACTTCCAGTACTCATATCTGCACACACAAAGACAAAAACTCGATTTCTTGTTAGTTATAAGAATTTGATGACAATATGTACTTCCTTTTATAGAGACCTTTTGTGTGGTATGAATACAATCTTTTTGGGCAGAATATCGAGGAATATTGTGAGAATCTTTGCAGATTTGATTCTCAAGGCTTTATGTCATCTCAATCATTCCTATCTCATGCCTCAGAGTGGATAACCTTGCCTCACTTAAGGGTTTCGTGAGGATGTCCGCAAGTTGATCGTCAGTGTTGACATACTCAAGAGATATATCCTTTCTTTCAACATGATCACGGATAAAATGATACTTGATATCAATATGTTTAGTTCGCGAATGTAGAACGGGATTATGTGTGATAGCAATTGCACTCGTGTTGTCACACTTAATGCTCACTTCTCGTGCATTTATGCCATAATCTTTTAATTGATGTGACATCCATAAAATTTGGGCACAACAACTTCCAGCTGCTATGTATTCAGCTTCAGCCGTACTAGTAGCAATAGAGTGTTGTTCTAGCTAAACCATGACACAAGTCTTCCCCTAGGAACTGGCAAGTTCCTGAGGTGCTTTTTCTATCAATTCGGCATCCTGCAAAGTCGGCATCTGAATAGCCAACTAGATCAAAAGTTCCTTCTTTCGGGTACCAAAGTCCAACACTTTGCGTCCCTTTAAGGTATCTCAAGATCTTTTTAGTTGCACTCAAGTGACTTTCTTTTGGTTTCGCTTGAAATCGTGCACATACACCAACAGCAAACGAAATGCCAGGTCTGCTTGCTGTTAGATATAGAAGAGATCCAATTATGCCACGAAAGTTTTTCTGATCCACATCTTTCCCTTCGTTGTCAATATCCATTCTAAGAGATGTGCTCATTGGAATTTTGACAGATGTTTTTCCATCAACGCCAAATTTTCGAATTAGATCCTTAGTGTATTTGGCTTGACTATTAAATATTCCATCTGAGCATTGCTTTACTTGCAATCCCAGAAAGTAGTTAAGTTCTCCCATCATGCTCATTTCAAACTTTCCTTGCATGAGAATTGAGAACTTTTCACATAGCACAGGATTCGTGCTCCCGAAAATAATTTCATCAACATAGATTTGTACTAGAAGAATGTGATCATTGTCTTTGATACGAAAGAGTGTTTTGTCTACAGCTCCTTTCATAAATCCATAGTTGATAAGGAAGTGTGAGAGTGTATCATACCAGGCTCTTGGAGCTTGTTTTAAGCCATATAGGCCCTTTTTGAGATGATAGACCTTTTCATGTTCATTGTTAACCGCGAAACCAGGCGGTTGCTCAATATACACCTCTTCTTAAAGGAGCCCATTTAAGAATGCACTTTTCACGTCCATTTGATAGACTTTGAAGTTCTTGTAAGCTGCAAAGGCCAGGAATATTCGTATGGCTTCAAGTCTCGCCATAGGGGCAAAGGTTTCATCAAAATCGATTCCTTCTTCTTGACAATATCCCTTGGCTACAAGACAAGCTTTTTTCCTAACAATGAGCCCATCTTCACTCATTTTTTTTCTAAAGACCCATTTAGTTCCAATAACATTCTGATGAGTTGGTCTCGACACAAGTTCCCACACATCATTTCATTCAAACTGATGAAGCTCTTCTTGCATGGTGATTACCCAGTCAGGGTCACTTAAGGCCTCTTCTATGGTCTTGGGTTCTATTTGTGATAAGAAACACGCCATCATGTTTTCGTGTAGAGAGGCTCTTGTTCGTACACCTTCTTGAACATTTCCTATCACTTGATTTGGAGGATGATCTTTTAACCATCTAAGATCAGGTTCAAGAGTATGTTGTTGAGTCTGCGCATCTATTTCAGGGATATCAGGGAGCTGAACGTAGATCATAGGTTCGGATGGTGTTTGAACATTAGGGTTGACTTGTTGTATGTTGCTCGTTTCCTGTATTGTAGTTTCGGGCTCAGAGATCTTCAGTTGATATTTCGTGTAGGAGGATAGTATATCTTCTTCATCATTTGAAAACTCTTCTTCATTTGATTTAGAGTTTTGTTGTGGATTGCTTGATGATATAATACCGGCTGGATTCTTCTCAGATAGCTCATCAAATTTGACATGAATAGATTCCTCAATAACCATTGTTCGCTTATTTAGCACTCTAAAGGCCTTGCTGACTGAGGAATAACCCATGAACAATCCTTCGTCTGCTCTTTCGTCAATGGCTCTCAAATGATTCTTTCCATTATTGTGGATAAAGCACCTGCAACCAAAGACATGAAAGTAACCGATACTAGGTACTTTACCTTTCCATAATTCATATGGGGTTTTGTTGTAGAATTTGTTGATTAAAGATCTGTTTTGTGTGTAGCATGCGGTATTTATGGCTTCGGCCCAAAAACACTTTGGTAGGCCAGAATGTGCAATCATAGTTCGTGTTGCTTCTTTCAGAGTTCTGTTTCTTCGTTCGGCTACTCCGTTTTGTTGAGGAGTTCGTGCTGCCGAGAGTTGATGAAAGATTCCATTCTGTGCACGACTAGCCACTAATTGAGTCCACAATTAGCTATAAGGTTTCTTACACAGGTGTAAAGAAAAACTTAAGAATTTTATTGAATTAAAGCCTCCCCGAAACTGATATTGCTGTGCCCTATTTATAGGTATAGGGGTAGTCGTACCTTCTACAGTCAAAGACATCTATGGAGAGTGTTTATTGAAGGATCTATAAGTACGAGTTCTTGGAGAGAACTAGGGTTACAACGAATATACGAAGAAACACTCCATACCAGCTATATGAGAATAGATCTTTGATTGGCATGCATCTTCTCAAAACAGAATGTTCAAGGTGATTAAGATGATGAACTTGAGAAGAACTACTGCTACTTAAACGAAAGGACGTAAAGATCACACTGTTGTGGTAACAACTTTATAGAGCGTCATTGAAGTGGACTGCATCAGAGTTGGCTCTCCAAGTGAAGGGATTTCATTGGACTTCTGTATGCTTGGCTCTCCATCTTCAACAATCCACTAAACCTTTGTAGACTGGGTTTGTACCTTGTGTGGGACACTTGGGTAAGATTATTGTATATCTACCTTTGTACATTGGATTATGAGTTAGTGGATTGGACGCCTATCTGATCGTCCCCCAGACGTAGATACACACCGTATCGAACTGGGTAAAAAACATTATGTGTCTTTGATTTTGTGTGTGGCTATCTTTCTCCCTCATTACATATTTACTAATTAACCTAATTGGATCAATCAGTAATCTGTGTCTGTCATCTAATTCTATCGGATTATCTAAAATGAGGAATTTCAAAATTACATGTGGTATCAGAGCTTTTAAGTCTACATAGTGACTTGATCTAAAGGGCTGTTTATAGTTTTGCATTCTCTCTTTTTGTGCAAGTCTGTCTGTTTGTCTGTTGGCTGGTTGTGGTATTCAGGATGGACGCGAGTATGAAATCACCAGAACTAGATAATCACAACTACTCTTTCTAGAAGGCCCGTATGGAGATATATCTTCAAGCTCAAGGTACCAGGGTCTATCGCACTGTTCTAACTGGGTGGAGTCCCCCTACTGTTCGAAATGCTCAAGCGGGGGAATGTTGATAAAACTCTGTTTGTAAAAACTACTGGAAGTCATGTAACCATAGCCCAAATATATGTTGATGACATTGTGTTTGGTTCAACCTTGCAAAAATATACAGATGAGCTGGTAAAGGTGATGGAAGAGGAGTTTGAAATGTCCATGGTTGGTCAACTGACTTACTTCCTAGGTCTACAGGTTAAGCAAAGTTCGGAAGGATACTTTATTTCTCAGGAGAAGTACGCTAAGAATCTTGTCAAAAAATTTGATCTGGAATCATGCAAATTTTCCAGAACACCCATTTCCACCTCTACAAAAGTTTCAAAAGATGAATCTGGTGCATCAGTGGATAACACAGTCTATCGCAGTCTGATAGGCAGTCTACTGTATCTAACAGCCAGTCGACCAGATATAATGTTTAGTGTTGGAATCTATGCAAGGTATCAATCTGATCCAAAGGAATCTCACCTGATAACTGCAAAGCGTATTCTGAAATATGTTAAAGGAACTATACAGTATGGTCTCTAGTACTCTAAAGACAGTGAACTGAATCTGGTAGCATACTGTGATGCTGACTGGGCAGGAAATATTGATGATCGAAAAAGTACTTCTGGGGGATGTTTCTTTGTTGGTAAAAAGCTAGTGTCATGGCTCAGCAAGGAACAGAATTCAATATCCCTAAGCACTGCAGAGGCAGAATACATAGCAGCAGGCGGATGTTGTACTCAGCTGGTATGGATGAAACAAATGTTTCTGGATTATGGTCTTACACAGGGAACAATGACTCTCTTTTGTGATAATGTCAGCGCCATTAACATTTCCAAGAATCCTGTTCAGCATTCCAGAACGAAGCATATTGACATCAGACATCACTACATTAGAGACCTGGTTGAATCCAAGGAAATTGAGTTAGAATACATTCAGACTGATAAACAACTGGCAGATATTCTGACTAAGCCACTGGATGCTAATCACTTTGAAATTCTCAGATCTGCTCTGGGAATTTGCAGAATTGACTAACTAAATCAGTAAGTCTGTCAGAGAGGAGTTAGTTTATTACGGGTCAGTAATATGAATTTGACTTACCTTAAAAGTCTCCTCTCTTTTTACGTTAAGAAGTCTATATATGCTTATTCTTCTCAGAAGAGATCTTAAACGATCTTATTGGCTTTTTAAATTTCAAATTTCCTTGGGATTTGTTTCCTTCCTAAAAAGAAGCTTTACCGTTGCATCAATCAATCACGTCTGCATGCTATTTGACAAGCCGCTTTGACTAGGGCTTATTATTCATAAGGCTGTGTGTTACCGGGTCAAGAAGAAAGAAATCATTCATACTCTCATCTCCTCTCTCTCTTGCATATCTGCCCTCAAAGAGTTAATCTTCTCCCGTCAAATAATCTCTCATGGCGGATCCTGTGAGGAATATTATCATCAAACTTGGAAGGAAGGTCCATTCTCCGGATACCGCCCTGAAACATATAGAGACACTTCTACAGTTGGCTAGGAAGAAGAAGCTTAAGCTCGACCCTCTACTACGAGATGAAATTCTGGTGACAGTTATGTCTAACTACCCAGAGTTCTATGCTGACTGGTCGGTAGACGACGTAACTGAGCTTCTTGTAATGGTTGCTGAAGCAGATGAAGATGTCTCACCAGTATCGATTCCAGAACCGGATGATGGAAATCGGGCAGGGGCATTCCTGCAATATTTTGCTCAGCGTGCCCTAGAATCCGATGAAGCTGCTCGTTGACGAGAAGAGTCCCAAGCTCTGTGTCTCGAGGCCGCTCAAAGAGAAGCTACACACAGACAGGAAATTCTTCGACAACGGGTAAATGACTCTGAAACTCCCATTGAGATTTCTCCTGATAGACCTGTTGATCCCTCTATTCCATCCTCTGTATATGTTTTACCTGCAAATGTTTCGACTTTGGATTCTGTGAAATCCCCTGTAAATGTTGATCCCCCATCTTTGCCTTTGACTGATATTTCTGGTGAAAAACATGAGGTGTTGCATGTGAATGTTGAGAAAACAACGACCTCTGAAGAGCCAAATCCACTAAGTCTGGTTGTTTATGATTCTGAGAAATCTGCTCTGCCTGCATCTGTGTCTGTGAATCTCCCTAAAGAACCCTGCACTGCAATTGATCCACCTACCTTACCTACTGTTGAAACTGGGTCTTTACCAAGTCACAAAAAGTCTGGGAAAACAGGTGGAATTCCTGTTTATGCTGCAAGAACTATGGAAGAAAACCTGGAACATGCACGATACTTTGCTGGGTTACCAACTTCTTCAATCCCTCAACCTTACCGTGTCATTCATCCTTCGAACTCCTCCAGTGAAGACGATAAGATTCTAGCCGAGGTGTATGGATCCCAAGCACCTTCATCCGCTGCCCCTACTGTTGAGGATACTGCTCACACAGATACCACCAATTTCAAGATTCGAGAGATTGTAAATGTTGTGGGCAGTCTGTCTGCGAATGTGTCCAATTCAAGCCACTCGGTGACTCCGATTCCATCTCCAACCAAAGAAACTAGAAGAACCAAAAGGAAAAATGTCCCGACAAAAGTGGTTGTTGAAACCAGTGCTGATACTGCTGATGTTGACCAACCTGCAAAGAAGAGAAAGCCGAGTGAATCTGGTAAGCCTGAAAGTGATCCGCCAATTCAACAGGTGTTTAAGACTCTACGATCATCAGTTAAGCCCAAAGGATCTTCTGATGTACCATCTGCTTCTGTACCAGCCCCTTCTGTAAAAAGGGGGAAGCCATCCACGCGTTCCATATGACGCAGTGTCACAACTGAGGGCCATCCTATTGACGACACTGACACTTCTGCTTATCGACCTCAGTTTGTATCCTCTGCTGCACAGAACAAATGGGCCAAAATGGTCAGAAGGGAACTCATTGTTCAACGAACGGTGGATGTGAATCAGCTCAATTCAGTCTGCGACATTCTACCTCTGTAGAGTGAAGTTGGGTTGCTGAAAACAGTCACAGATGTCTGCCCTTACTCCAAGCTGCTAACTTATGAGTTCTATTGCAATCTCAGTGATGAGATTGATGATCTTGTGGGGCCACGACCAATGCAAATCTTTATCAGAGGTAGGTGGTATGTCTTTGGACCAGATATGATCAATGATTACTATGGTTTGCCTGCGGTACAAGAGGAGGATATTACTGATTGGAATTTGGTGGCCAAAACTCTTACTGGTGGTCAGACCACATCTTGGCCTACTGGAGATAAGGATTACTTGCTAAGCTCACATCTCACGTCAAAATATGTCATCCTACATCGTCTGGCTCTGCACAACTGGCTTCCATCTGCTCATTTCAACACAGTTGGAAAGCTTCTTGCAGGATTTTTATTTCGGATTGGCACCAAGATGAAGCTTGATCTGGGAAAGTGGATTTATTATCATATTTTGACTCTGACTCATCCCAGGGAGCAAAAGGTAAGGCTGCCCTTCCCAAATCTAATCTTTGGAATACTTACTTCTCAGGGACTTAAACCTATGACCAGTGAAGTCATCAGCCCAACACTGCTTTATACTCTCGACAAACGACTACTATCTGGAGACCATATCAAGGATGTAGTCCCTGTCACTGCTCCAACAAATTCAGAACTTGAGACTGTGAATGATGAGTCCCTGCATGACAAGGATGTGAAGCTGTCTGAACAGTTGAAGGCGCGAGTTGCTAAGCTTGAAACGGTGCACGGTATCATTGCCAAACAGCTGACAGGTTCACGAACTGAACTCGCCACTGTCCTTCTTCGCATGAGCCTGACTGAATCTGCTGCTGCTGTGGACCCTGAGAAGACTGACAGTGACTCTCCCTCAAATGTCTGATCTTTGGCTACTTTTGGCAAAAAGGGGGAGTAATGAACTCAGGGGGAGTGTTTGTTTGAAGTACCTTCTGGCCCTGGCTGGGCGATGTGATGATTGGAATGTTCGTTTTTGGTTTGTTTGCTCGAAGCTCGTTCTGACCGATGTGTCCGGTTGTTGTCTCCTATTGATCTAAGACTGCTGTTTTTGTTTCTAGACTATTTAGTATGTTTTTTGGTTGTTTTTAATCAGAATTGATCATGGGTTGTTTTTGCTCATAACCTATCTTAGTTGATTACTTTTATATAGTTGAGTTGTTTTGCCAAATAATAGCCAAAGGGGGAATTTGTTAGTGTTTATGTTCAAAAACCCCACACTATAATTGGCAATATTATTATTGCATTCTAAGATAGGTTTAGGCTTTGTCCGGCTGGTTTTACAGATGACTGATCAATCAGAAACAACAACAGAGGGACTGACACTGAAGATCTGATTTAGGAAAGCTGTTTCCTTATGAGGCTCACGCGGTGAATCAGATCAGTATGGAAAGAAGATCAGCGTATCTTCAAAGAAGGTAATGGACCTAATCTGCTATGATTACATTCCTCTTTTACAGTCCTACCTTCTACAATCAAAGATATCTATGGAGAATGTTTATTGAAGGATCTATAAGTACGAGTTCTTGGAGAGAACTAGGGTTACAACGAATATACGAAGAAACACTCCATACCGGCTATATGAGAATAGATCTTTGATTGGCATGCATCTTCTCAAAACAGAATGTTCAAGGTGATTAAGATGATGAACTTGAGAAGAACTACTGCTACTTAAACGAAAGGACGTAAAGATCACACTGTTGTGGTAACAACTTTATAGAGCGTCATTGAAGTGGACTGCATCAGAGTTGGCTTTCCAAGTGAAGGGATTTCATTGGACTTCTGTATGTTTAGCTCTCCATCTTCAACAATCCACTAAACCTTTGTAGACTGGGTTTGTACCTTGTGTGGGACACCTGGGTAAGATTATTGTATATCTACCTTTGTACATTGGGTTATGAGTTAGTGGATTGGACGCCTATGTGATCGTCCCACAGACGTAGATACACACTGTATCGAACTGGGTAAAAAACATTATGTGTCTTCGTTTTTGTGTGTGGCTATCTTTCTACCTCATTACATATTCACTGATTAACCTAATTGGATCAATTAGTAATCTGTTTCAGTCATCTAGTTCTATCGAATTATCTAAGAATCAACAGGAAAATCTTTTGGAAAGATTTCATCATTTTGAATCCATCAAGATAAGGTAATTATTTTTCGGAGAAGTTTTAGCTGATGAGCCGATATGTATGACTTTTGAAGATTTGTCAGGTGAGGATTTTCAAACTCACTGTGGAAGCCCATCTCTTGCATTAATTCACCGCAATGCAAGTTGGCAATAATTTGCAGCTGATCAAAATGAACGATCAAGATCAATTGAAGCTACAACGGTAATATAGCTTCTTCAGCTATATATACCAAGAAGACTTGAAGACATGAAACAGAAAGTAAGAAGAGGCAAAAAGAGCAGTAAAGAGAGCAATACACGAAGAATAAAAGAGAAGAGCAAAAATTCGAAATATCTATTTTTGAGCTTAAACGAGAGATTCTTCAAGTCACTAGAAGAGAAATTTGTTTTCTCTTAAACTTACCTCTACTGTGTGTAGAAAGAGGGTTGAGTGTAGCTTTGTGCAAGACACTACCCTGTTGAGTGTAGCTTTGTGCGAGACACTCGTGAGTGTAGCTTTGTGCGAGACACTCGTGGTTGCTGAGCGTAGCTGTGTGCGAGACGTTCGGTGGTGCTAAGTGTAGCTGGGTGCAAAACACTTAGTTGGCGTAGGAGTATAGCTTTGTGCGAAATACTCTGGATTGAGTGTAGCTGTGTGCAAAACACTCGGGAATTGCCTGTGTGCACTTGATTCACTATTTGTATCTGGGTGAACGAGATAGTGAATTTCCTCCTTGGAGTGAAAGGAGAAGAGTGGACTAGGAGGATTACACCACCTCTGAACCACTATAAATTGCCTCTCTCATTTACTTACTGCCTTTATTTATTATTGCATGCATACTAACCCATTTACTATTTGTCTTATTCATTTATCTTATTAATTGGGTTATGTGACTTTACAAGTGCATGCAGACACAATTCCATTTGGATTCACTCATTGATTCACACGTGATACCACACACATATTGAGTGCACCATCTCTTTAAATATTCATTTGTTGTCTTGCATGTTGAATATTTGACTGACCCATTTTATATACTGTACGAAATTATTCATCTGGGTCTAGTAGCTTCCACGTTTGCATGAGGGCATAAATTTTCATACTTATTATTTGAGCCTTTGCAAACATATCTATAATATTGCATGTGATATATCTCTTTAATTTTACGTAACACTTGGTTGTTTAATTAATTCCGCTGCGCATCTAAGTTTCATATCTTGTTACTTAGAGTTGAAATTACCGAAGTGTTATTAATTGTGAAAAAGTTTAAAAAGTCTATTCAACCCCCCCCCCCCCCCTCTAGACTTTTTACCACCCTATCGGGACCCACAAAATTACACTTACAATTACATTCAATATACAAGAGGATATCAGATTGAAAATGTGCACAATTTTTAAAAAGAAATTAAACACTAAACAACATACATAAATTATTACCTGCTAATTAATGAAGAAGTAATTCTTTCCTGTTAATTAACAAAATGAGTAAATAAATTACACATATATACTTACAAATACTTTAGATTTACAAGGGAACTTAGTTGAGTAGGAAATGAACCACTGAATAAATTTTCAGATAGATCCCTGTAGTAAAAATCACAAATATATTTCAGACTAAGTTTCATTTATTTATTCAATTAGCTAGTAAATAACATAAATTTAAGAAATCGTCTCACGTGGGACACATCTCGAATATGTAATTTTTAAAAAACAAAAAAGTAATACTTTTATGTGAGCTAACAAGCTTTATATTTTTCTAGTTTACTAAAAATTATTAGTTTTTTTATAAACGTATTGGTCAAATGTAATACTTTTTGACTAAAGATGTAATATTTATTGACTTAAAAATAGGATATCAAATTGAAAATATGCACACTTTGAACAAGAAAAAAAAAACAAATTAAACAATAAACAAACTAATAGAATACGTAAATAAATTACTCGAACATATACTTACAGATGTGTCAGATGACTTTTTAGAGAAGCCAAATGAGTTGGAAATGGACCGCCAAATGAATTATCAGATAGATCCCTATAATGAAAATCACAAATTCATTTCGAATAGAGTTACATTTATTTATTCAATTAAGTAAGCGAACAAATAAATAGGATCTTAGATCGAAAGTTTTTAAAGTATGAAAATGATGCACAATACTTCGTATAACTTATTCCAACTAATAATTTTTTTTATAAATAAATCATACACGAGTAAAGAAATATAATAGTTCAATCACACACCCGACATTAGTAATATATAACATTTTAAAACCCAACATAATCATAATTAAAAAAAACATGTTAGATAATTTTACAAATTTTATCTTATTAAATATAAAAAAGATAATTTTATATTAAATGACTTAATATTATTTATTTATCTCACTTTACGTATAGAATTTTACTATTTATTTGTCAATAAAAAAATGGTAAAATGTATGTGACAAATGAATAATTATATTGACAAATAAATAGTAAATTTTACCTATCATATTTACTAATAATTGGTTAATCAATTTTTTTCTACTTATTTTCTTTAACGTTGTTCTATAATTTTTAAATTTAATTTAATTTTTGGTATTTAATAGTAATTTGGATATAGTTTTAATTTCTTTTATTAGACCATTTAATATAATTTTATTAGTAAATAATGAAGCAAAAAAAAAAAACAAAACAAAACAAAAAAAACAAAAAACAAAAAACAAAAAAAAGGAGACAATTATGACTTTGTACTTATAATGTAATATAACCTTTTTCAATTAGCAAAATACTTTTTAAAAATTTTTAAATTTTTCCTTAAGATTTACTAATTTATCCTTAATGAATATGATTTTCCGTTAACTTTTCCGTTAAATATTATATTTTCTGTTAATTTCTGTTAGTTCACCGTTAACTTACTCATTGATTTCAATAAGAAAGGTCTTAGGTTCGAACTCCATCCCAATCAAAGTTGACATAATTAGTACTCTATTTTACTCTTATTAAATTAAAATTATAATTAGTAGCTACAACAAAAAATAATACATGCATATATATATGCATTTCTTTAATTTAGAATTATGTGTCTACAATGTCTTTATTCAAAAAAAATTTATTCATTATCAATAAATTAAATAAGATAAATAATTTCATTAGTTATATTGTCTTTATTTTTCTCCAATATAAAAATTCTTTATATTCAATTTCATCAATTGATTATATTCGCTACATTATCCCTACAATGTCTTTATATAAAAATTCTTTACATTCAATTTCATCAATTGATTATATTCGCTACATTATCCCTACAATGTCTTTATTAAAAAAAAATTATTCATTATCAATAAATTAATTAAGAGAAATAATTTTATTAGTTATATTGTCTTTATATTTCTCCAATGTAAAAATTCTTTACATTCAAATTCATCAATTGATTATATTCACTACATTGTCTATTATTTTTTTGTGCGCTATTTTTTAATTAAATATCAAAGGTATAATACAAAATAATGTTATATATTTATTTACCAAGTATTTTATTAATACCATGAAAAAAGTAAAAAAATATAATTAATAAAGTCAATCATATTAACTACTTGAGTGATTTGTTGACAAAGAGAGTATTCAAATCTCACAACAAAAAATGAGAACTACCTCGCAATGTCCTTGTTTGACAATCAGCAGTTAGCAATTAGCGTTAGCGGATTATATTAACGGATTTGACCAGCGAATTATATCAACGATTGGTAAAAAGATACTTGCTACCATATAATCAATTCAT